TATATGTCCATGAATGACTGAAAAATTGTGCTGAACACTGGAATTTGACACATTGTAAAATGATTATAAATCAATAAAAAATGTTAAAAAAAACCCATTTCAGCCGCCTCATTTCCCACTTTCCACTGACCACGCTTTACTTTTTCTCTGTCTCTACCTTCTTTTGGAGAGAAGCGGCTGTCTGCCCTTGCGTGGGCACGGCGCACGCGGTGCGCCCTTTGGTTAGGTGTCTCTAGCACACCGGAGCCTGTGTCCTCACTCCTTTTCGCGACCCATGTCGTGGCAACCTGAACTTCAACTCTACCTTCCTGGCCTCTCCTTCTTTCCATCTTTACCTCTTTGGTGGGAACTCTGCAACCCAGCTCTCCAGCCCTGATTTCCCCTCTGGTCACACCCAGAAAGCTGCCTTTCAGTCCACCCCTAAACTGCCAGCTTCCTCAATTATACTTGTCGTGGTCCCTGTGTCCCCAACCTCCCTCTGACTGCGCCTCCCCCGCCAGGACTCTGCCCGGCGCGCCGGGGGCGTCTGTCGGCCTCACTCTGCTCCTGGTCAGGAGCAGCTCACTCCACGGAGGAGGGGTGGGTGCCGTCCTTCCCCCATCCCCGCCTCCCTTCTTTCTTTCTGAGCCCCCGACGAACTGAGCAGCTGGAACCCTCCGGTCCTCCCGGGCCCAGGGCTCTCGGCACCCAGGGCCCCATGCGGTCCGACTCTGGAGTGGACCAGCAGCCTGAGGACTGGGCTCGGGAGGGAGTCGGCGCCCCGGCCCTCTGTCTGTTTCAGTTCCTTCCTTAACAGCACAAACCAGGTTCCCGCACGTCCATCAGCTGCTATTAAAGGCGCTGTCACAGCGCACTGGGATATTCGCCCCGAACGAGTGTGTGCCGGACGGGAGTGGTGAGAGCACGTCGCCTGGTTTGGGGAGAAAAAACCTTTTCCTCCGAGTGGGCTCACGACAGACCACACCACGCAAAGGACTTCGGAAACAACCCCAGAGCCGTGCCGGGGTTTGAGCAGTGGGACCAGGTTACGGTGACGGCTGCACTGTGAGGGCTGCCAGGCAAGAAATCCCTTTAAATAAATTGCAAGTTAAATCTACTACCACTGAGGTCTAAGACGCAAAGTGAGACGCGACTGCAAAGTGAGCTGGTAGGACAATTCCATTCCTCAACACGTCCAGATGGTTCTGAGAGGGTCCCTGAACTTCCCTGCCTTCAAATATAAGAAGTAAGGCAGTCATTTCATTCAGTTTTGTATAAAGCAGAAGAAGATCACAAAACATACGGCACTGATTGGATGGGCAGGCAGAAAGTTCTCTCTAGAACGAAGCTGCACTTCAGAAAACTACGGAGAACAAATGGTTAAACCCAGCTTCAAAAACCAGCAACAGTTAGGTTTCCAGTGGTGACTGACTAATTCCCGGCTGCACCTTCAAGACAACATACAAAGCACATGCTGTAAGTGTCACACAACGCGGAGCAAGTGTCTGCAGTGAGAAGGAGCAGGGCGAGCGTGGGGCCCAGTCAGGGCAGGGCTGGCCAGGCACGAGGGCGAGGCCCTCCTGCAGGCAGAGCGGCGCTCATCCTCCGCCCTCAACGCTTAAGCTCCTCGAAACCCCTCAGCGTAACTGCAAGAGGGAAACAAGTGTCCTGACCCCTGTTCCGCCCAAAACGACATGTGCCACAGCCACCAGCAGACGCAGGGCTGCGTGCGGCCCCATCCGACGGCAGCGGTCCGCTGTACGGCCGGCCCCACAGCTAGTGAAGTGCCTCTGGGTGATCACTTTCAGTCGCACACAAATGCATCCATAATAAAGCCAAACGGCGCTCTGCCGCTCAGTCAGGCAAGCAGGAAACAGCCTCAGGGGGAGAACATTTTGGATTCCAACGTTACATCAACGTACACGGTGAGCAAAGAAATCACTTATATGGAAAGTAACGCAATTACTCATTTCAGAATGACAGGAATGATTGGTTTCTGAAGGTAAGAAAGACCGAGGCAAAAATGAAACAAAAACCAAGAATGATGCCTTCTAACCACCACTCCATCACCAGGTGAGACCTCTCAGCACACGCGCCGCCACGCACACGGGCCGCCACGCACACGCACACGTTCTGTGCATCTGAAGGGGGCTTCATTATGTTTACGGGGCACGTAACGCCCTTCGGGGGCCGAGCCTGATAAGACTGCAGGGCTGTTAAAACCGTGTTCCTGGCTGCGCAGGGCTTTCCTGAGCAGAGCCTTGTCTGGGTCACTTCTTGTCCAGGTCACTTCCTGACCACCAGCTTGCACCCGTGGCAGCTGTTTGCAGGTAAAATCCTGGTTCCGTTGGTTGGCAAACTACGGTCTCCAGGCCAAATCTGGCCCAGCGCCTGTTTCTGTAAATAAAGTTTCACTGGAACACAGCCACGCTCATTTGCTCACACGACAACAGAGCGGGGACCCTCCGGCTCGCAAAGTCTAACCTACGCGCCACCTGGCCGTTCAGAGTCTGTGGATCAGACCCCATCCTGAGCTTTCCTACCTCTGTACGCCCAAACTCCAAACCCTAGAGCCCTGGACTTGGTTACATGAGACACAGAGCATCAGCACAGTGACATACTATGCAAGCACGAGAAATGACATTTAATAAGAGCTTCCCATGGTCAAGGATCAATTTATTATAATGCTAAGGTCTAAGTATACGAAATTATAAATTCAGTCTAATCACATCACTGCAAAAACGTCTCTGCTTAGGAAAAAAGAAGAAACGTCGCGATCCCCTGGCCTGGCACTCGGCAGCCACTAAGAGGGGACCCTCAGGCCCATCTCATCTCATCTCAACTAGACCGTCCACTGCGGAGGGCAACAGGCTTCTCGGCGGCCAGGACCGTGCTCAGCGTGGGTTTTAAGTACACAGCTGGCATTTAGTGAGCTATCTCCTGGACGAGGAATAAAACGAGCGACTTCCTGAGTCATCTGGACTGGAGACTTTCCTGAGGTCACGCTCATGGCACCGTAAACCTTTGCTGACAGCGATCACACGGAGTACAGTCAGCAAGAAAAACCCACAAGGAGTGACTGCAGAGACCTGTGTTCAAGGGCGGCACGGCCACCAGGAGAGGAAGGATGGGTCGGGGCTTTGCCACGCAAGGCGGGTCCTCTCCCCCCCCCCGTCGGGGGTCTTTCACAGTCAAGGCAACCTAGGGCCCACCACCCAGGCTCCGGTCACCGCAGGGGGCCTCCCGAGGGGCTGAGTTCGGCGTCATCGTTGCCCTCACGGTCCTCGCTGTCCCCACACTTTCCTGGGGCTGCTGGGGGTGCCGGGAGCCTGAGTGTCAGAGCCGTCAGGACCCCAGGCAGGAGGCCGAGGAAGGCGCCCCCAGGGAACCCACGCAGCTGCACCACCCACACCCCTGTGCCTCTCGGGAGAGCTGCCTCCCTTCCTGCTGGGTGCTAGCTGCTGCGTCTATTTCCAGCAAAACAAAACACTTAAAAGCAGGTGTTAAAAGAGCGGCAAGACGGCCTGGGGGAGAAAAGGGGCTGTGGAGCCGGGTGGGACGCAGGGTCTCCCGCCCAGAACCTCCCGCACGTTTGCTCCGTCACACCCGAAAGAGCTCTGCACTTCTCAAGAGACGATGGTAAAATAATCATTTTTTTTTTACTGCTGAGAATACATTGAAAGACTCTACTAAACTCAAGCAAGGAATTAAATGACTAATGAGGCCGTCTCTGTTTTCAAAGTGAAGTCCACTGCCCAGCATGACTGACCTTGACCACCTGTGGCCCTGCCCCCGTTAGCGAAGGTGCCCAGGGGCTCCCGGGAACCGCAAGGCAGGGACCCGCGGACAGACATCCTGACCCGGGGGGAGAGCACATGCCTGAACTTGGTCTAGGAGACCTGGGTGATTCCGCACCGCGAGCCGCGGGGCGCCACTTACCAGCGCAGGGCGATCTTGATGGGGGTAGTGAGGCAGGACGTGAACAGGTCGGCCGGCAGGTCGGGGACCATGGGCAGGAGCTCGCTGGCCTCACAGGCCGCCAGCTGGATGCAGTTCTTCATCGACGGCGGCAGCGGCATCTGGGCGAGTGGGTGGCCCGGGTTAATGGCAGCGACCTGGGGCGGGGGGACAGCGAGGAGGAGAGCGGCTCAGCTGTTGTGCGCCACGGATGGGGCCGGGGACACGGTGCCCAGGGAGGGCACCCCGGCCCATTCTCCGGAGGGGATGCTGCTGGATGCCTCCAACATGGCCCCTGACATGTACACCTTAAAAAAAAAGTGTACATCTTAAAAAAAAACATAAAACGTATTCAAAGTTTAAAAAACTGCAGGACTGTCTGATACGAGCTGGATACTCTGATCCCAGGACCCTGCTACGGCCAAGCACGCTCCCCCGGCGCTAGCGGGCACGAGTCCCTCCCCGCCACATGCCTGCCCACACTGGGCAGTCCACACGGGCCAGGCTCCGACTCTCAGAAACAGTGAGGTGTCCGAGAATTCACGGTGCCCTGGCCAGTGACAGGTAGCGGGCAGAGCGCACGATGGCCCGCAGAGAGGCAGAGAGGAGCACAGTGGGGACCTGACCCTCACCCACCCCGGGACACGCCCCAGCTGGTGGCGGCGGAGCACCGCTGGAGACCTCTGACGAGGAGGAGGCAGACCCCAGGAGGCGGCGGGAGCTGCCATCACCGCCGAGCCCGCGGTCCTGACCTGAGGCTGGTTTTCGCTCGTGCTCCCACCTGGACCCCGTGACGCTGACGGGCGCCCGCACGTGTGCGTTAAAACACACGCGAGCCCCGACGGCTCACGCAGAGCTGACACTGGTCACCACGCGTCCACTGCTGTCGCGTTGCTGCTGGTAACACCTGAGGTCTCTCAAACGCGAGGCGGTAAAGGCTGTGCTGTTACTAATTACCTGTCCTACTACAGAACACGCTTCAAATTCTAGAACATGTCATAGTAAATAGAGCTTTTTCATTTTAACTTTTTAACGAAAACAGCAATTTCTAAGAGGAATGGGTTTTTTGGCTTTGTTTCCCTCCTGTGGTAGAACACACATATTGCACTCACCACCTCATCCACGGCACTCAGGACATTCGCACGGAGCCACCACGGCCAGAGTGGGTTTAAAGCAGAGGGAGAGGGAGGCGCAGAGGCCTGTTCGGTCCTCTCCGTGGCCCCAGCGGCACAGGCTGAAGCAGCACCAGGGAGCAGCCTGCTCCACACGGGAAACTGGTCTCAGGTCGGGGTGACAGGCCCGCTGGGGGTGACAGGTGGCGGCGCGTCAGCCCTGAGTCACTGGGAAGATGCAGACGCTGCAGAGGTGTCAGAGCCCGGGGAGGCCGCGGGAAGCGCTCCGGCTCCGCACTTTGTGCAGGTGTGTCTTCTCCAGGGGGAGGAGGGAAGGTGACAGCGGCTGAGGTCGGGCCCAGGGAGCCGGGGGAACTTAGGGGGAACAGAGGGCCCGCCGCGAGCCCAGGGACGGAAGCGTCCTGGGACGGAAGTGGACACACACCTTCTCGCGTGCGTCACTGCCGAGAGGCACCAACGTGATGGTTAAGGAAGCAACATAGATGAGAAGCAACAGTCACCTGTGTAAAGCCCAGATTCATGAACAGCAAGAGCAGCCTCTTCTGTCAAATAAAAATGAGATGCAAAAAACCCCCACAAAAAACCAAAAACAAACCTAGATTCAATGTTCTTAAATGCTGGTGTCGGTCACCAGTTTCACCTTTCCTGCTTATAATTTGCTTCCACAGTACAGCTGCTCCTGAGAACAGAACAGCAGCCCCCCAGCAGCGCGGCCTGTCCGTCTTCCTGTCACCTCTTCCTGGCCTTCCGAGGCCTGAGGTTCTCAGGAGTGAAGTGTTTGCCATACCAAGGCGACCCTTCTGCCTAGGGGAGGCGGCGTGGGGAGGGTGGCCACGCACAGGCAGCCACGTGGGTACCGGGGTGGGGGGAGGCCCTGACGGCGCCGTGCGGTGCTATCTCGGCTACAGCCCGCAGCCCAACCGCACCTGGCCCAGAGCCTTGAGGGCACAGGGCCCAGGAGGCAGAGGAGACAGGGAGCTGTAGGGACGTCTCCATCCCGAGTAAGTCCCCAAGAAACTGAACTTCCCAACAAACACCAGTGTCTCCAGCAAGCCCTGCAGCGAGGCGGCCCACAGACGGGCATTAAGTGCGGCTGCGGGCAGTCCAACCGCAGCACATGGCGCAGCCCCGCCGACTCCCGAGGGCCTGTCGTCACCTCCCCGCACAAAGAAGGCATGTGAGGGTCTTCCCGGGAGGTAATTAGAATCAGTATCTTTTTTTTTTAAGTGACATTCAAGGCAGAGGATTCCACCAACATTTCATTTTTCAAGCTGCTAACCCAGTTATAAAATTTTTAAATTTAAATTTTTAATTTCCCACACATTGTTTCAGTTTTGTATTTAAAGAGACCAATCTTTTCATTGAAATCAGTCTTTGCAAACAGCCCGCGTGTAAGGCGAACTCCTCAAAGGTGGCCGGCAGAGCAGTGAGCCAGCCCAGCGGGGAGCCACCACAGAGCCGGAAGGGCACGCTGAGACACGCTGTCACCCAAGGGGCTCCTCCTGGGAACTGAGAGACGCAAACACCGGGGAACCGTCCATCTTGAAAAGCTTGCTAGAGCCTTCTGGAGGGTTTGGGAAGGGTCCAGAAAAATCTTCAGATGCGATCCAGGGCAACCAGATCCAAGAGAGACAGCTGCTCCATCTTCCACACGCGTGGACGACGTGGGGCTCGGGCTCCGGGGCTCCCAGGAGACAGGCCAGCAGCTTGCACGAGGCCTGGAAGCGCCCGCTCCAGACGCGCGGGGTGCGGGATGATGGAGGGGCACTGGCGTTTCTCATTTTCTAAATAAAACTTGGGACGTCTGGCTGCTGCTCTTCTCCACTCAGATGAAGAGACATCTGCACAGAGATGAAGGCACAGGCCATCTCAGAGGCCCTAACAAGCGACTCCCTGAAAATAGCATCTACTTGGTAATAATTCCAGTTCCAGCTTAAAGCAATTTTTATTCTCAGTTCATTAACACCCACTTACAGTGGACATCTGTGCGAAGCTCAGGGAGAGCCTGGGGCCCGCCGAGGAATCAGACGTGCCGGCCCAGCTCACGTCACAGATGTTCACGGCTACTATCACATAACAGGTACTGCACTCAAATGGCAGACACGATGTGCAAGCAGTAGTTGTTAAACACATAATCTTTATCAGCCTCTATACGTCGAATATTAAACAGCAATTTAGAAGTAAGGGTCCCTACTGCTGGGAACTGTGACGTCGAGGCCGAGAGCAGAAGCCACCCTGCCGGGTTAGGCGTGTCGGGACAGTGGGGAGTCCCCAGGTTGCGCCCTTCCAAGGGCAGCTGGCGAGCGAGCGCCTTCAGGGGACAGTGCGTCACGGCAGTCCTGGGAGTTCACCCGAGCGGCCGTCCACTGTCTTAAAGTCATTGCACTGGTCACCATCAAACAGTTTCTAAAATGCTCTGGAATCTTCCTATAACTCAGTGAAGACGCTTGACTAGAAACTGCAGCCAAGTTCTTCTCCCCAGTTACTCTCAGATACTCAGCAACTGAAGACGAGGGGGCACTCAAAACCCCTGGGAGCTTGACACTGAGACGCCCGTGAACCGCGCGGACACGTCTCCGGTTCTCTTGGGTAGAAACCTCAGGGTGCAGTCGCCGCTGGGTCGCCTGCAGCTCCAAGTGGAGCATCTGAGGACCTGTCAGACCACCTTCCGAAGCGGCTGCAACGTCTTGCGTCCCTGCCAGCGGTGTCCTGGCCTGGCTCGCAGCGATCCCTTTCCACTCTGCTCACCCGGGGTGTGAGGTGCGCCTCACCGTGGCTCTGCTCTCTGACTCCTGAGGGACAAACGCCGCCCCTTCCCGGCCCGACCGTGCCGGCTGGAACTCCCAGCTCCCACGTGGGTGGGGACGTCAGAGTGGCCCGCCCTGCGTTGCGCCCACCCTGGGGGGACACTGTCTTTCACCGCCGAGGACGAGGCTTTTATAGACGCTATCAGGCTGAAGGCGCTCCCCTCTACCCTAGTTTGCTACGAGATTTTTTTTTAATCAAGGGAGGATGTCGGATTTTGTCAGAAGCTTTTCCGTGTGCCAGTCGATGCGAGCGGATCCTTCTTCGTTAGTCTGTTGGTGTGACAGATTACATTAATTGATTTTTTGAATATTACACCAGATTTGCATGCCTGGCACAGAGCCCACGCAGTCGGGGAGTGTAATTCTTTTTAGGGAATGCTAGAGCGGATCTGCAGTTACCTCGCGAGCACGTCTGTGGGAGAGAGACGGTCTGCAGGAGCTTCGTCCCCCTTTTGTAACGTGCATCCACCTTGGCTTCACAGTCGT